TCTCACCCAAAAACCACAGGAGATTGGCACTAACCCCCGATTACAGACGATAGACGGAGAACCAACTTGATCAGAATGAAAACAATATGTGCAAAATGAGGCTGGAAGACAAAGAAACTGTTACTTCCAGGGCAAAAAGGGTCATTTTGTGCATCTTCTTCTGCTCAAGTTAAAAGGATCACATGTCTGCTGTTGTCAAGTTGTCTTATTATTAACGTGTCACAGATGTGTTTCATTAGGTTCGGCGACAGAGAAACGCGCTGCCTTCTGGGTTTTATTAAAGAGAAAGGAAGCTGGCTGAGTGTGTGACAGCTCCGTCACTCAGCGTGGGCGTCTTCTGGTTTATCTGTGTGTGTGTGTGTGTGTGTGTGTGTGTGTGTGTGTGTGTGTGTGTGTTTCCAATGGCTAAGCAAAAAGAAGTTGAGGTGCAAGCTGTCAGTTTGTCAACGTGGGAGTCTGACAACCAGGAAAGCCACAGGAAGTGAGGGAGGAAGTGACTTGTCCCTGACTCACCCCCTCCTCTCCTCCGCCCACGCATCCCTCGCCCCGCCGCATCAGGAGTGTGTGTACTAACAGTTTTCATGAAGCTGGAACCTGCGGCTCCGTCTTTTGGCTCACCTGCTCTGATAACCCGGCCGGTGACTCGTGAGTTGCTGGTTCAATGCCTGACGGTTGATTTTGAGGAGCAAAAGTGTCTTAATCATTAACTTCCTGTTTGATGGCGTCAAGGAAGTGGGCTGGTTTCAGAAGCTGAGGGGATGTAAAGAAGCTGCGGGTTTCTTGATGCAATAACCAGAAAACAGCAGATGAAATGAAGACAGCAGTTTAGTTCAAATAAAAGTTACTTTGTGAAGAACTAAAGTTATCTGTCAGAAGAAAAGCAGCATTTTATCAATCAAATTTTATTTGTACAGCACATTTCAGCAGCAAGGCATTTCAAAGAGCTTTACATCATAAACACAAAAACATAAAGTCATGCAGCAGAGAATCAACAATCAAAACTTTACATGAAACCATTTTAATGATTTTAACTTATAAATGTTTGAACAAATGACATCAAATCCATCATCAATGGCTCCAGATGATTTACAGCAGATATCATCGGTGTAGATGGGAAACATCAGCTGTAACCCTGGAGAAGTCCTAAACATTTACGGCACGGCGGAGGAGGAGTGATGATCTGGGCTGTAAAACCTGGGAAGGTTGCAGTAGCCGTGTTTCCATCAGAACATTTTATGGCCATTTTGAGGGATCATATCAGAAAAGGTAGATGGAAAATCCAAAACAACTTCCTGAATTTAGTAAAAAAAAGTTTTGATGCTCGATGAGGTGATTCTGTTTTTTCTGAAAAATCGAGCTATTCGGCCTAAATTCCCATATCAGCCATTCCTGGTTCAAACGTTTAAAGGTGAATTGTTCTTTCCAGGACTGGAGTCGTTAGCCGTGTTTCCATCAACGTTTCTTACGCTCATGTTGAAGTTTCGCATTAGAAACGGTAAATTTGAAAAAACGTTTTCACACCCACATGAGGCAGATTTTGGTTTTTGGAAACTTGCTGAATAAGTTGTGACGTAGCGAACGTTAACCTCACCACTGATCAGCCGTTTCCACTGATGTATTGGTTCGAATGGATTTTCTTTCTCTTCACCAAAACCAGCTGGCCTGACAGAAAAACCCGGTAAAAAGCAACACGTTCCTGAAAACCTCTGGTTTTTCTGAGACCGTCGTTCCAGGCTAGTTGGCATCCTCTCCTTCTGTCTTCTGTCTGAAAGCTGACACTTGGCCTAGTCAAACTCCAGACCTTAAATTGATTGATTGAAAAAGATTGATCTTTAAAGAGCCGTGCAAAAACTAACGTGTGCAAACCTCAATGCGATGAAGCAACAGTGGAGAGAAACGCGACGCAGTGAGAGGCTGATGAAGTCCAGGACAATCCGCCGCTTCTCGTCGCTTCCACTTGGAAACTTCTGGAAAATCCAGTTTGGAGTCATAAATTACAGGATTTTCTTCCTGCCACTAATGAAAACTGAGCTTCTTTCTGGGGCTCATCATTCTTGTCCTGTTTTCATGAGTGCTGCGTTTGATTAGGACCAGTTCTTGGTGTTAAAATGAAAGAAAACACCAGATGCTGCATTTCTGAACCTCAGCTACGGTCGGCTAACCCGGCTTCCTCATTTTATGCAATTCCTCAGAAAGGTAGCTTAGTATGCAAAGCCTCTGGTCTGCTGCTGTTGTAATGAAACCACAAAGTGAAGCTTCACTGTTTTAACCAACTCGTGTTTCACCTTTAGAAAGTCTCCTGGGAACCTGACGGTGCGATGTGTGCAGAACGCGACCCGGTTCTGGTGTAAAGAGCCTGGATTATAATCCAACTGAACCATCAGAGGTGTCAGATGTACTCACCTGCTCTACTTCAGTACAGATACCTGTACACAAAAATACTATAGTAAAAGTAGAAGTTCAGGTCGGCTGCTTTACTAAAGTAAAAGTAAAAAAGTAAGTTTTGTAATTTTCACATTGAAAAATACAAAAGTACTTTTTAAAGTCTAAAATACTTTAAAAGTTTCATAAAAATGCATTACTTCTTTCTTTTGCCGACAACATGCTCTGTGTTTGCATAGAAATAATAATCCTGATCTCGTTTTCCTTCAAACCAAATCTGAGTCCGGATCATAACGTTCAACATGGAAGCTTTTTAAAGCGTCTCTGAATCTGTTCCTGTTTGTCTCAGGTTAAAGTTTCTCCTTCTCTGCTTTGGTTGCATCCGACCGAATGGTGAATTACAGACACTAACTCACTTCTTGTGAGGGTGGTGGATTTTTTCCATCATTATTCTTGTCATCATGAAAGTAACGAGTCAGAAGTGAAAATGTAAGGAGTAAAAAGTACAGAAATTTCTCATGCAGAGTAAAACTTTGTCAGAAAGATAAATGCTCAAGTGCAGATACCTGAAAAATCTACAAAGTACTTTTACTTTTTTACTTTATAACTCTGCTAAAAAAGAAAAACCCTCCGTGTTATGAATTTGGGGTGTGAGCTGCATCAGAGACGCTCTGATGGTCTGGATGTCCTGCAGGGCTACAGAGGGGCTCCCAGGGCCTTCATCGCCACCCAGGGCCCGATGCTGCACACTGTGGGAGACTTCTGGGACATGGTGTGGCAGGAGCGGAGCAGCATCATCGTCATGGTGACCAAGCTGAAGGAGAACAACGAGGTGCGGCGGTTTGTTTCTCTCTGTGGAATCGTCACCAGATCGCCCGCGGTGTTCAGCGTCTGACGTGTGTCTGCTCAGAAATGCGAGCCTTACTGGCCGCAGCCGAGGGACGGGACGAAGGTGAAGGAGGAGGACGAGGAGCGGCAGGACGAGATCCAGAGGGACCAAGACGAGGGACAGACGAGCCGCTTCGGCAGATTCCTGCTGAGAGTTAAAGACAGCCGGGAAAAAAACGGCTTCATCATCACGGATCTGCAGATCCAGGTGGGTCCAATCTGGGAAAACACATTAAATACTGTCAAGTAGTTCTGTTATGTACATATCTGTCCATTTACTGAATAAAAATATACATTTTCCTCACTGTCTGAGGCTAAATCAAACCAAACTTTTCTAAATTACCCAAAAAGTTCATTTTAAAAGACACTTATCCCTGAAACTGACCAAATGTATGTACACTTCTGAATTCTGAAAAATATTGTCGCTCAGTTTTCTAACATTCAGCAAATAGAAAAAAAAGTGATTCTAGCTAAGATAAAACAAGAAAAGTTTGGTCCGATTTAACTTCAGTCAGTGAGGAAAAAATATCAGGTTTCACCTGTGGAGATGATTCACATCCGTCTGAGACGCATTTCAGATCCTGTTCGTGTTTTTAGCTTCATCAGGCTGAAAACATTTAATGCCTCAGCTGATCTGAGCCCTGGATGGTCAGGATGTCTGAACTCCAGCTTTAAAACAAACTGCAGCTGAAATAAAAACAGAAACAAAGTTCAGATGAACTCAGTGTTTCTGGAGCTCCATCATGGTCTGTGGTTATTAAAGTTTTTATTTTTGATCACATTTTTTATGCTCTTGTAAAACTTTCAGTGAATTCTGTCTTTCTAGTTCTGGTGTTTGTTAATGTCAAATGTATTTATTTATAGCACTTTTTAAAACGGGTTTAAAACTGCTGCACAAAAACAATAACAATATAAAATAAGTTAATGAAAAGAGAAAGAGAAAAATTCTAATACAAAAGAATAATAGTAATAACAATAAATAAAAGTAAAACATCACAACAGAAAAGTTACAGAATCAGGCCTCGATTAAAAGCCAACGAATAAGTTACGTTTAAAGGATCCATTTAAATGGGCTGTTTCCTCTAGGAGCCTCTAGATGTCGCTGTTTTCCCCTGTCAGATCTCCGGTTTCATGTTTTAGTTCCTGATCCTCAGTTTTAGATCAGTTTTCACAGGCCTCAGTTTCTATCACTAAAACCTTTTTAGTAAATAAATAAACATGTCCTACTTTTCCTCTTGACAGCTTTCAAAGACTGTTGATGCTCCAGAAGCTCCATGTTTATTCTGTTTGCTTGTGGGATGTTCTGGAGAAGCTTCATCATCTCTGTCATCTTCACCTTCGTTTTCAGCTGAACTCTGAGCGCCGTCCGGTCAGACACTACTGGTTCAGCTCCTGGCCCGACCACCACATCCCAGAATGCATTGTTTCTCTGCTGAAGCTGGTGGAGGAGGTGGAGACGCAGAGGAAGTCCCTGCAGCCAATCACAGACGCCGTTCCGGGTAACCGACCAATCATTGTCCACTGCAGGTTGGTGTTTATGAAAAAAACAGCTTAAACCTCCAGGTTCCTGCAACACAAACACATTTTAGCTTCTGTTCACCAGTAATTTAAGGAACGTTTTAAAGTGCTGAAGAACAAACTCACCGTTGAAAAGACATTAACAACCAGCTGCAGACATTGATCCCAACCAGAAAGACCTTTTCACCTCGCTTTGCAGCGGTTCCCTTCCAGATCTGCATCGATTCTAAATCACACAGGATCTAAAACTTTAGTTTTACTGGTCAGGCTGTTAGTTTTAGTCTTTCCAGTCCACAGGAGGGGGGAAGGTGGAACAGCCTGACCATGCAGGACAGCAGAAAACTGGACTTTGTCTTCTTCACATTTTCTCCTGACGTTAGTTGATTTTTGGCAGCAGCAGGTTTAAGAAGAACCGCTTTAAATGGGGCCATAATCAACCAAGTTAATCTCTTCATTTATAAAACAGCATCATAAAGCTTATTCACAGCAAATATTTATCCCATCCTCTAAACACGACGATCAACCGCTACCAGATCAGACTAAATACTGAAACCAATCTGAGGTTCCTCAAGAACACAACAGTCGAGATGGAACAAACCTGGATCTTCTTTAACCAGCAGAAAAAACAGTGAAATCTGAACCTTATGTCAGATAAACTGTGTTTTCAGCAGAGCAGCGAAACCAGCCTGAAGTGTGTCAGACCAGCGCGGCGAATGCGTTCAACCGGCTTCCTGTCGGAGCGCAGCGGCCGTGTACCGCAGGCTGGAGGCAGATAAACTGCTACGGTGTGAAAATGACCCATAAAGGTGGCATTTCTGCCCAACCTAACCTTAAAACTTCATTCACACCAACCCTCAAAGGCTAACTCTAAAAAACTAGGTCTACCACATTGAGACCTGGCTTCAGCAGTGGCGCCCCCAAGAGGTGGCCAAGGGAGCTGCGGCTCCCTCTGGGAGGTTTCTGACACCTCTGGCTCCTCCAGCAAACACCAGAACCTCATTTCATAAACACACACGAATTCAACAATCTACAGGCATCTTCTTCAATCAAGACATGGAACTGGTCCCAATGAGGCGTTTCGGTCTTTAGAGGTAAAAACACCACAGATTGACCTAAAAGGGCAATTTGCAAAAGTACAGCAATAATATGTTTTCCTGTCTTCACAAAGACTTTACATTGACTTCCATTTACCTTCCATTAATTTCTACAGCCTAACACCTTACCCTGCACTAACCACAACATGCTTAACCCAAAACATCACTTCCTCTTTGGGGCCCCATAAGGAGCAGTGGGTCCTCACAACGTAGTATTTATGGGGAAACGGGCCTTACCGCATGAGAAATGCTAAAATCGCAGTTTCAGCTACAGTCGTTCCCACTCATTCAGACATTAGAGGAATCCTGAAATCAAGGGATGAACCGGTTTCAAACTGGATCTTAAACTCTTTGTGACAGTTTGGTCCGGTGAACCCAGGACATGTTGACAGACAGGAAAGAGAATTTTGGCTCCAGCCTTTTTCCTGGAAGCTCCTTGTAGCTCCTTGCAGTGAAACTCTAAAGCCTGCTCTGGCGTTGTGTCCCCAGCGCAGGCATCGGGCGGACGGGTTGCTTCATAGCCAGCAGCATCTGCTGCCAGCAGCTCAGAGAAACCGGACACGTGGACATTCTGGAGACGGTTTGTCAGCTCCGACTCGACAGGTGAGGTCGTCTGAAGGTGATTTCGTTTGGATGTTCGTACACGTCGCTGCTGGAGAACATTGTTCAAATGTATTTCCTGTCTTTATGCTGTAGTTCTCTCTGACCCGTTTGGGTGACTTACAGTGTCCCGTTCTCTGTTTCTCCACCTGCTCTGGAGAACTGACCACAGGTTCTCAGTGGGGTCCGGATCATGAGAAGTCCAAAAGCAATTCGCCAACCTGTAGCTTCATGAAATCAGAAGGAAAAATCAGGAGATCGTCACTAAACTGATGATCTTTGGAGAAGTTTCTCTTGGAGGATCTTCTCTTTATCTTGGGAAGCACACATGATTGGATCAGGATGCTTCGGGGATCACACAGGTCCTCACAGCTTTCCTTCCAGATGCTCCAGCCAATCAGGAAATGGTTCCATCTGAGAAACTAGCAGAAAGCTGATGCCCATCCCTGAACTTCCTGTAGCGCTTCAGATGTTCTTGGACAGAATCAGTGGCAGCAATACTTCTGCTAATTAACATTGGAGCTAAATTTTCATTTACCGTGTTAGCATGTTCGCTAACCGTGAGAGCATTTAGTGCTAGCATTAGCATTTACCTTCTTCTGAATTAATTTTTCTAATTTTTCATTTCAAATAGCAACTGACAACAAATTTGTTTAAAACTGCTTTATTTGTTTGATCATTTCTGCTTTTGTATTCGATTGATTTTATTATTTTACTGTTGTATCTTTTAATTGAGTTAATGTATTTTGTGTGGTGTCAAGAAAGGTACCTGTAATTAAAATGTATTATTATTATAATTATTATTTATTAATCTTTCAGTTGAATATATTTTGGCATCTGTGTTGAAGTTTTTGTTATCAACTGTTAAGAATTATGAAAGTAGACAGACGTTGATACTCATGCTCTTATTTTGAAGTGGATGAAGGATGTTTGCGCAGCAGTTACAGTCTGTAACATTACAGTAAACATTTAAAATCTGCTTTCTGACTGAAAAACATAGTAAACATAGTTAGCAAAACTCAACAACTGTAAGACTGAACCATGAGGGAAAGTTCTGTTCAGCAGAATTACTTCCTGAAGCACAACGACACAGGAAGGTGATTAATGACACACTGGACCCTGGTGAGGACGATATGTGGGTGGATTAGCGCTTTAGCATTAGCTTCCACTAAATGCTATGTTGGTATAGCAATTTACATTAGTAGAATCATTGTTTATTATTCATATTTTAGGGCAGCTAGTTTTAGCTAGCGGACCCCACCAAAGAACAGAATCAGATCCTTTCCTTCCCTTCTTTATCAGAAATCTTCTCCACACTTTGCAGATCTACACATACCACCTGCAGCCAGAGTCAGCTAAGCTCTGCGCTGGTGGCTTCTTTACTCTGCCAGGCTCTCCTTATCAGGGACCGGTTCTGGTGCTTGATGGACCGTCTTGGACACTGAAGTTCTTTTGCATAAAATTAAAAAAAACTGTTGTCCCAACTTTAAACGCCAGAACCTTCGTGTAAAGGTTCTCCTCCTCTGTCCTGTGCAGGGGTGGGATGATCCAGACCACCGAGCAGTACCAGTTCCTGTACTCTACGCTGGCCCAGTACAGCCGCCAGCTGCAGCAGAACCAGGTACAGAACCTCACACAGCCGAGCCTAGAGCCTTTTTTTAGAGGAGTCGGTCAGATCCGCCTGCTGCCAAGTTCAACAAAGTCAGGAGGAACGACTTTCTGCCAGTTTAACCGTGTTTTCTCCCCATCAGGACCAGAACCAGACCAACACAGACTCACAGAACCAGCAGACCCCTGAGGACCAGGCCAGCGTTCGGCTGCAGAACCTTCGACTGCAAAACTGAGAAAAACCAGAACCCACAGAACCAGCAACGTCGTCAAAGAAATCTGAGGAAAGCAGCACAGCAGAGGAGAACCAGGAGAACTGGGAGAACCGGAAGAACCAGGAGAACTGGAAGAACCAGGAGAACCAGGAGAACCGGGAGAACCAAAGGGCCTCAGCAACAGCAGACAGGACTGAAAGAAAACCAGATCCATCAGGGCAACACAGCAGAACCAGAACTGGATCTTCTGTTTGGTTCTGAAAATATGGAGAACCCAAAGAACCAAAATTTTCATCCTGGACTGAAAAGAGAAATAAAGAATTAGATTATTAAAATGAAATAAATGTATTGTTTACATGTTTGTTTCTCAGAGATGAGCGGAGCTGAACCCGACCATCAGGTTCTGTTCAGTCAACGACTAAATCGACTAAATCATAAAGTTAGTTTAAAAATAGGAACTTTTGATTTGAACTGGAAGCTTTAATGAAACAAAGTCTGAAAACTTGCTTCAGATTATTTTCTGGTTATTTGCTTTAGTACTCTGTGGGTTGTTTTTTTTAATCAGAAATGTATAAATTTAGGTTTGTTTTAAATTAAAAATATTTGTGCTTCTTGATGTTTCTGAACAAAAAGCATTTTGTTGGCGGATAAGCAGGATAAGTTGTTCCTCCTACAGCAGCTGAGACCTGAATACCGGAAAGGTGCAGTACCTCTAATGAACACTAGATGTCAACAGCAAAACATCCTATGTGACAAGATTCCTAAACAGGAAGCTGGTAGGTTGCAGTTATCATCACAGTTTAAGCAGAAACCAGCAGGGACTGCTTATTGCAGTATTTGGGAAGCTGTTAAATACATGTCAATAATATATTTGTCTGGTTTTTGTTACATGGGACCCATCAACTGGGTACTCCAGCTTCCTCCCACCGTCCAGAAACATGACTGTTCAGTCAAACTCAAGGCCTGGGGGCCAAATCCGGCCCCCGTAGCCATTTTATGTGGCCCTTTGGTGCCAACCGTCAAGATAACACTGTGCTTAAGTATTATTTAATTAATCAAATCAAAGCAGTTTTTATTTTCTGTCTGATTTCATCAATCAGTCCCTCCAGTTTCTTGCAAATTATCGTGGAAAATCACGCAAAAATCAACAAATCCCTGCACTTTTTTGTACTATTGCATAACTGTGAGTTTACTGTAGATTTTTCCACAAAAATGGTCAAAAACATTTGGGTTCAAGAGATGCTAACAGCTGTCTCAACCTTAATTGATGTCAGATCATTGTCCACTATTTATACCGTCATACATAAGTACAAATATCGTAAATATTTTTAAATTAGCACCACAAACAGTTTTAAAAAATCACAAAAACAATCTCGTAATCCTGGAGGGACGTAAAAGATGTTCAATATTATTAAATTTTAAGAATTCATTAATATCTTAACGGGTTTTATCGATACATTCTGGCACAACCGGCCCTGTTCTTGATTTGGCCCAAAACAAAAATGAGTTTGACACCGCTGCTCTAAATTATCCTTCGTGTCTCTGTGGCAAATTGTCCAAGGTGTACCCCGCAGGAACAGACAATGGATGGCTGATTTTATGACACAACAAACTAAAGAAGTCCAAACCCTACCTCACTATTTTAAAATGAGAAACATATCCTATTTAATGATGTTCTAATGGGGAACAATGGGAACTAAAACTACAACTTTTGTGTTAAGATGTACCCAGACTATAAATAGAAAACATTAGATGATCGTCAGAATCATGCAGTGAACCAACAGAGGTCAGTGTTTTAGAACTCGGTACATGTTTTCTGTTTCTGCCTCGTCTTTGTTCCGTTCTCCTCTGCCTCCTCTAACAACCCCACCCAAACCGGAAATAGTGCCGAAGTTTTATTTACCCGTTCATTTGAAATCACCAAAAAGGCAAAACAGTTAGTATTATGTTGAATAATCGGCACATTATGATTACATGAATTGATTTAATAACTAAGGACATTATGTTTGAATATAAAAATTGTATTTTATTGTAAGTTTTGACACAATTGATTTTCTTTGTGTTTTATTCTGAAGGGCTCCGCCGGATGTGTTCGTGTGCGTTGGTTCCTCCTTGTCGGCACTAGCAGGAAAAGGCGCAGCTAGTAAACAGCAGAGAAAAGCCAGTCGGTGGGTTTTAAAGCAGTAAAACACCGAGCTACCGGAGCTCCAGAGTTAATGTGAGGCTGCTTGGCTCTGTGGCTCTCCCTGTTACCGTCAGCGGGTGTCTCAGCGGCTGTCAGCGGCAGAGAAAGCGGAGCGTCGGGCCGGGCAGCCAGTTAGCAGCTAACCGAGCAGCTGTAGCGGACGGAGCGCAGAGATGATCGCGCTGATCAACAAACTCCTGGACTGGTTCAAGGCTCTGTTCTGGAAGGAGGAGATGGAGCTGACCCTGGTGGGGTTGCAGTACTCCGGGAAGACCACCTTTGTGAATGTAATAGCGGTGAGTGTTGCTGGATGTGGCGGCGTCCATTGTTGTCCCTCAGCGGTGAGGTCAGCTGGAGGCAGGTGGGGTGGAGTCCAGCAGGTCGGGTCCGGGGGTTCCTCCACCTCCAGGTGGATCTGTGTGGATTCATCCCGTCTGATTCCGCTGAAGGGAAAGAGGAATGACGTTACGGAAGCATCTGGGAACATCTGGAGGCCGCTAGTCTGCTGCTGGATCAAACAGATCAGGATTTATGTCCAATGAAAAAGCAGAAAAACTTTAAATGTCGCAAAAATCCTACATTTATAGCCATGTGTATAGTATTTACTGCCCTTTCAGACTCATTCTGTTTTGGGTCATGAAATATGTGGTGATAAAATTTGTTCCATCATGAAATAACTGTGATTAGTTGATCTTTTTGCTATAATTTTACAATTCATAATCAGGTCAGATGAAACTATTTATCTAGAACCGGTCTGACGGCAGGAAGTAGGCAGAAACAGACCTGTGCAATAAGCAATAAATCAATTAACCGCATGATAAATTAAAAGAAGCTCATTAATTGATCATTTTTGCAAGAACACATTCTCAAAGATCAGTAAACTTTAGTTTCTAATGAACATTTAACACTGAAAATAAAAGTTATTATAAACATCCAAAATAAATAAACAAAACAAATATAGTGAATTATGAAGTCCTGAAAAAAAGGTCTAGCAGACTGAAGACTTTTATCATGTAGTTTGTGGTAAAAAGACAAAAACAATAAATCATGCAAACTGTTTTAATTTATCAGGCGATTAGTTGATTTATTGCTTATTGTGACAGTCTCACAACCATATTAACAGAACATTTAGTGGAAGGAAAAACACAAACCAGAGCTTCATAGAGAAGTATCCAGAGTCAGAGCAGCCTTACCTGAACGTCAGTCTCAGGTAATGGTGCACCAATTTATCGGCCAGCCAATCAATCGGCTCAGATTTCCTTGGTGTAGTGAGATCGGTTATCGGCCGATGTGTCCATATTGAAGCCGATCTTATCCACTGATCTGACCTGCGTCAGCAGAGGTCCAAACTCAGCCAGTGGGGGTAACAATAGTCACCTGACTGCTGCCGACTCGGAGACCTTTTCTATATTTAGCAACATTTCAGTCAAAAAACATCAATCAGCAGGTCAGACTTTTAAAGATCGGCCAGAAAACTGGGTCTGCTCACTGCTAGTGTCAGCTGTTTGACCTGAAAACATGACTGTGCGTGTGTGTGTGTGTGTGTGTGTGTGTGTGTGTGTGTGTGTGTGTGTTTCAGTCGGGTCAGTTCAGCGAAGACATGATTCCTACGGTGGGCTTCAACATGAGGAAGATCACCAAGGGCAACGTCACCATCAAGGTTGATAGTTTGATTCCCTGCATCACTCTGTCCTGTCCTGCTCTGTCCTGTCCCCTGCTCTGTCCTGTCCTGCTCTGTCCTGTCCCCTGCTCTGTCCTGCTCTGTCCTGTCCTGCTCTGTCCTGTCCTCTCATGTCCGTCTCTTTGTCTCTGTGTCTCCAGCTGTGGGACATCGGCGGCCAGCCTCGCTTCAGGAGCATGTGGGAGCGCTACTGCCGGGGCGTCAGCGCCATTGTGTAAGTCCGGCGGCGGCGCAGGGCGGCAGGGCGGGGGGGAAATTCATGTTTTCATTTTGTGCAGATTTATGGTCGTCTCTTCAGTTCGGATCTTTTCCAGGATTAAATCATCGTTAGGAAGCTGTTGGCGCGGTGGCTGTCTGGATTTCTCCTGTTTTCTGTTAGTGACGTTTGTTTGGTCCTGCTGCAGCTACATGGTGGACGCAGCCGATCCGGAGAAGATCGAAGCCTCCAAGAACGAACTGCACAACCTGCTGGACAAACCGCAGCTGCAGGGGATTCCTGTGAGAAAACCCGAAACACGACGCAGACAGAGCTGAGCTCAGACAAACGGGCCGGCGCTGACCCGGCTGCTCTGATCACAGACGGGTCAAACTCAAGGCCCGGGGGCCAGATCCGGCCCGCCACAGCTTTTTATGTGGCCCTGTGGGCTCCAGAGGGACGCGTAGAACGAGCCTTCGTTCTACAGTTGTTAAATCTAATTTTATAAATCTGCTTGCTGATAAATCTCGTCAGTTCATCGATTCTACGATTTTTGGAAGTTCATTCAAAATCAACAGTTGCTCCTTTTTTTCTCGCTAAAACGTAATTGTGAGTTTATTGGAAATTTTGTTAAAGGTTTTGTTGGCTCTTCTGGCCTTTATTTAAAAGTAGTTCGACAGGAAAGAGGGCAATGAGAGAGACAAGCGGCAAATGTCACCAGGCCGGGAATCGAACCTGCGACCACCGGCACGAGGACCAGGGCCCCAATACGTGGGCCGTGCTCTGCCCCTGCGCCACCACAGAAACCCTGAGTTTATCGGAAATTTTCCTCAAGAATGTTGCAGTCGGCGCTGTCCAAACTATTTGGCTTAGGGGCCAAAAATATAAAGTTTAATTAACTCCAGCGGCACAAAATTTAGTATGTATTTTTTTATTATCATTATTTTTGCAAAAACTATTTTTTATGCTTTCCTGATGAATGAAAATAAACTATAAACAGTTTCCTGTAAACAAGCGAAATGTGAATCGTTGTAGATTTGAAACTGAATTTGGTTTTATTCTCTGTGAAGAGAAATAAAACAGTCTGTGAAATATGAGCTTCACTTCCTGAAGCGACAGACTGCCTCCCTCTGGCCCACATGCTGATCGGAAAACGCTCAGCACTGAATGCTTTCTACCTGCATGCTCTGGTTCTGGTTCTGCTGCATCCAACCCATCCTCCTCCTCTCTGTCCTCAGGTTCTGGTTCTGGGCAACAAGCGGGACCTGCCAGGCGCTCTGGATGAGAAGGAGCTCATAGAGAGGATGTAAGTCCTGACCCGGTTCTGACCCGGTCCCCTGTTGGTCCCTGAGGTCCGGTTAGAGCTGGAGGTTCTGACCTGGTGTTCTAACTATCTGTGCTACCCATCAAGCCGTCATACCTTGTGATGCGCACATCGATGCTACGTCACATTCTGCTGACTCAGCAGATTTCTTTTCGTCAAACTGTGGAAGTTTCATTTCGTCTGTTTTATTTAATTGAAGACGACGTTAAGCTTTATTTAATTTATTTCATTCGTGGCTTTCATTAAGCTGCTGTATTCATGTTTTAATTTTACATGTGTTTTCTTGTAAACACATTTATAAATGGTTTAGTTTGCTGTCTGTAATGTCGTTACTACTGTAAACGGAGTCGTTTAAAATACCTTATTTTTCTGGGACCTTTTGTCCCTGCACTTGAAAATATTTGAGTTTAATTACACTCTTTTTCTTTTTTTTTTAATTAAACCTGCTGTAGTTTATAAACACGACGGTAGCAGTTTTAGACGGGTAGCACCAACAGATAGACATAGCCATCTATCTGTGCTACGGCAGGAAAATCTGATGAGGTAGCACAGATAGTCAGAACACTGGTTCTGACCCGGTGTGTCCCCGGGTCCGGTCGGAGCTCCGGGTTCTGACCCGGTGTGTCCCCGGGTCCGGTCGGAGCTCCGGGTTCTGCTGTTCTGCTGCCTGTTTCAGTGTTTCGGGTCGTTGTGTTCAGGAACCTGTCGGCCATCCAGGACAGAGAGATCTGCTGCTACTCCATTTCCTGCAAGGAGAAAGACAACATTGGTAAACACACACACACACACACACACGTTTATCTACAGCAGGGGTCACCAACTCCAGTCCCACCATCCTGTAACTTTTAGATGTGTCTCTGCTCAAACACACCTGGATCAAATAAACTGCTCGTTTCCAGCCTATTGCAGAGAGGAATGAACGCTGGTGAGGGACTCAGACATTCTGGAGCAGAGGTGAATGTAAAAGTTGCAGGATGGAAGCCCTGGAGTTGGTGACCCCTGATTTACACTGTATGAAAGAACACAATGTGCTTTCCATTAAAACAATAAAAATGCAAAGATTTAATCACCTAAAACAAGATAACTTTTAAATGTACACAAACCAACTGGTTATTATTCAGCACTGGATGAAAAGCAATGCAGCAAAATAAAATGAAATATGTTTAATTTTATTCTGGCGGCTCTGGGAAGAGGCAGGAAGTTTGTGGGAATTTCCTGGGAGCTGATTGGTTGAACAGATTGGAGGCCGACCAATCGGTTAGGTCTGTGTAGAAACACACAGTAAAGTATAAATAAATGAATATTAAAATAAGTAAATGCAACATTAGATTAACATTTTTAATGTATTTATAAATGATTTAATCATTTGTACATTAGTTCTCTATTTTTAAATTTATTTCCTAATTTTTAATTTTATTCCCAATTTTCATCACTAAAATAAAATAATGGTTTTATTTGATCATTTATTGATTTTCTTTCTTTTTTAAACTCTTTTTTATCTAATTTTTTTATTTTCTGTGTATTTTTTCATCATTAATCAATTTTTTTTCCAGTTCTACATTTTATTTTTTAGTTTTGCCACAATATGCATCTGTTAGATTTCTTTTGTTCTTATTTTTAATGGTATTTAACTAGATATAGTTTAATTTCTCATCAATTTATTTCTTTTCTAGTTTATTTTCTGCTTTATTGTTAATATTTACTTTTTTATGTAGTTTTATTCCATCATTAATTAATTTATTTAATTCCCCATTTATTTTATATTTTATTTTTGTTTACTCATCTATTAATTAAATGGATTTATTTCTAATTTTCCTAATACATTTATTTATTTATTGTTTTATAACTGAAATATTTTTTATTAATTTATTTATTTGTTTTCATTTTTTTTTTGATTGTCTTTATTTATAGTTTTATTTATTTATTTATTGTGAATTTTGCCAGCATCAGTCCTCCATATTTTCCTCAGTTTCACTTTGTCTGGGTTACTGTGTAAAACCACATTTGACCTTTGACCTAGCTGCCTCCTGATTGGCTCAAACAGCCGGCGGTTTTGACCTGGACCCGTTTTCTTCCTCCTGCAGCTCTTATGTTGGGTTAATAAACAACGAGGCGGTTTCTGCAGTCAGCACCTTTGTTGGACGCTCAGATTATCTGATTGGTGCGCCTGCAGGAGGCGGGGCACCAGGAGGCCACGTCGCTATGGCTACAGCCCCACTGCTGCTGGAGCTCAGGGCAGTTGCTGTACTGGTCGTTGTAGAGGCAGGGGTTGTTGTCACGGTGTCGGGGCATTCGCCGCAGGTCGGCCCGGACTTGTAGGGGTGGGTCAGCCAGTAGTGGCCCGTGGGGCAATAGTGGCCACTTGTAGGTGGCGTTGGGGCAGTAGGTGACGGAGCGATACCACACCACCTGTGTGTAGAGCCCCACTACGCCGCCGTTGATGGAGCCCACGCCGTAGCGGAAGTCGTGCACCTCATCGTACCAGGCCTGGGCTGCGTTGGTCCAGCTGGGCATGTAGAGGTTCTCGCCGCTGGTGCTGGTGACCCGCGAGCTGGACGGGCTGTGCTTCATGGAGCAGGTCGCCGCCTCACTGCTCCAGCCTATCTTCAGCAGGTTGCTGGTCGTGGGCTGGACGTGAGCCGCAGCGCGTTCTGCCTGTCCACGATCTCAGCCTGCTCCGTCAGAGTCGTCCGAGCAGCGCCTGAAGGAAACAAGAACGTAATAAAACCTTAAAGAAGATGCAGGATTACAAATTCACTTCAATACTCACCCACTTCCTGGTGTCATTTGTAGAGAAAGGGGAGAAAAATAATTATTCTTTGGGACAGATGCCAGTATAACCTGAATATCTGGTTACCTCAGACAGCTGGATGTCTGCCAGGGCGCCGGGCAGCTGGAGGGCAGCAGCAGCCAGGAGACACAGGACATAAACACACCTCATGGTTTACTTTGGGATTGTCTGAGGTGGAACCCTGCAGGGGGGACTTTTATACGTGCAACACCCAGCCGGCGCATGTTTGCTGGATACATAAACTCAGGAGCTTTCCAGTTTTTATGAAAACAACCAGATAACACAACACCTGGGAAATCGCTGTGATGATGAAGATCCTGAGGTTATTAATATCCTCAGGCATGTTGAAGCCAATCAGCAGTCAGTGTGAAGGAGGTGGGACGCCCTGGGCGGTTAGCCACGAAGCTGTGGACAGTTTTTAAGGTGTTTTCCACCTGATTGTCTGGTAGATTCGGTTTGATTGGGAACATTTGTTCTGTTTTCATTTGCTGCAGATTTTCTCACTCTGAGCCAAACCAACCAA